GCGGAAAAACATCTTTCATTACTGTCTGTAACCTATTAAAATAAAGCTATATACCAAAAGCTCGAAACGTAATAAATATTTTCTATACATGACTTGGCGCACCACATTTGGAATATTAAGAGTTATTTTAGTGGTTCATTAAGTCTTATTCAACCAAGAAGGAGGGTCCTGAAGGGGGGGTCCCAATCCCATTTCCCACCTGAAATTTTGGCAAAATCCCAGTCCCAATTGCATTTTTATTAGAAATCCCAGTCCCAGTTATTGAAATCCCAGTCAACAAAAAACCCTTTATTTATCGGTACAATAAACAGTTTTAAGACTTTTAAGCCGCCGTGTGTGCAAGTGGCGAACACTTTATGAAATATTGGGGGAGCTTCTTGCCAACGGCACGGAAAATTTTTAAATTTGAATCCCGAAAATGGCATTTGCAGCAGTCTGAGACACGCATAATCAGAAAACCCAGAATTTCGGGCGCCAGAGTATGCCTGTTCTCAGGTAGTGCTGTGAATAATATAGTTAACAACAAAAATCATGACCAATGCAAAGACACGAAAAACGGATCAAAATTGTATTTTAAAATACTTAAAACGTAGAAAAATTGGGAATCGACTCGCATTACCTCAATCCCATTCCCATTTTTGAGGACTTCATTTCCCATTCCCAGTGGCCAATTGGACCAGTCCCAGCAACCCAAATCCCATTTTCCCAGTCTAAAAATAGATCAATCCCAGTTCCCATTTTACCCCTTCAGGGCCCTCAAGAAGTGAAATTAAACAAGTCGTTTAAAAAAGGGTGCAAGTATCGAACGATACCACGTCAGTAATCGATACCGATACCGCTGTTTGTGGTATCGCTGGTATCGAATACCGAGTACTCAGTATCGCCCATCACTATTGAAATCCACTCAGTTTGTTAGAAGGAATATATGTCGGGATAAATATTAGCAAAGTATTAAACTGTAAAATTTTTCTTAAAATGCTAGTAATCATTGGTCCACACTCTTTAAATACATTACAAGCGCGTGTAATAGGTATGATGTGACATCCTGTGACGACATCATGGGTGGTGCTAAGCACCACCCGCTCCAGAACCCCCAATTACGAACTGTCAAACGACATCGTAGTGGCCAGAAATAAAAACTGCAGATAAACAAACGGTAGCGAAGTAGCCAGAAATATAAACTGTAGAATGTAGATAAACAAACGACAGCAGTTCAAAAATATCAAGTAAGCTCAAATAAATTAAAATGACATGAATAAATTAAAATATTTGAGAATCGATGACGTCATGGGCGGTGCTTCGTGCACCGCCTGCGCCAGAACCCCCACTCTCTATACTACTTGCGTGTGACCGATTTCTACATGTCAACTACATGGTTTATTTGCTAACACATTAAACAATATGAGAGTGCGGATCTCGTGTATAGGCAACCTTGAAAAATAGTCACGTAGTTGGTTTAAGGTCACGTAGTTGATATAGCAAATACGTTGATGTTTTATGAAACTCAATATAGGTAAATGGAAAGAAATTATAGTCATCGACTTTACAAGAGCTGAATTTCCCACCTATAATAACTATTCGAATACAGAAGTTGAACGTGTAAATTCTGCCCATACTCTCAGCATATTATTATTCAATACAATATTATGTCGAACTGTGATAAACAAATAAATATGTGCAACGTTGTTGAAAAGACAGGGAAAGCTGCTAAAGTACCTAAAATAGACGACCAAATTACTTGGATCAGGGAACGTCTCGCTGGCGCTTCCATACCAGTAAATGTTTTAAGTCGTCATTACACACGTTCTATGTTTCATACTTGTATCATGAAACACATAGTTTTTAACTTGCTAATATGCATATTGGCCAATTTCATTTGGTACAAATGAATATCACTTTGAATACCCTTTATGTTTATTACAGTCAATCAGGTGCAGGTCAACAATGTTGTTATAATGGTAATTCACTGATAGTCGGACCTCCTGCCGGTGGTACACTGGACGTTGTGTCTCCTGATAAAAGTACATTGGGTCATATGAAACGAGATGTATTACCTTGGTTTGTTTGTTGTAAATTCAGTCGGAACTGTGAGAAATATTATCAAAGACGACCTTCAGACGATGGCTCACGATATGATCCTCCACAAGTTGGTAAATATTTTAATTATTATTTCCGTTGCCTTGTTGTATGTAGAGCTCAGTGTTTTCAGGTTAGGTCTGGTTTTAGGGTTAGGATCTTGTTAGGCTAAGTGTAATAATAATACAACGAATTGTATTATAACAATTTAATAAAAGTTATTACATGTAGAATCTCAACATGTAGTCTCAATCTCTGTCACTGTTACTGCGCATGTCCGCTACAGGTAGCCCATACTTTATACCATCCTCCCTCTAGATAAAACTAGGTCCCACAGTTTTTAAAAGTTCATATCATTGTTAACAAACCATTCTGGAGGTCTTCGTTCTCGCTGTGGTCTCTCATTGTCGTTAGTTGGTTCAGGTTGCTCAGCCGGATTATTATTATCTTGTTCTACGTCTTCAATTGGAGCGGCAACATCTGGACTTTCAATGACTATAACTGCATCATCAGTTGCTGGCGAGTCGTTCTCCTCTTCCTTTGGGTCCACCGTGTTATTATCCGCCGTGTCAGGTTCGCGGACGTCATGAAACTGTTTCAATTGATTGTGGTGGACAACTCGTCCCTTGACGCTCATTTTCTCGCTTCCTTCGTACTTTATCCGGTACACAACTTCTCCCAGTCGTTTGATTATCCTCTACGGTCCTGTCCATGGTACTCTGTTTAACTCCATGCACCTCGCTCGTCTGATTTTTCCATCAAGCCACAACACTAGATCTCCTGCCTTGTAAACGTTAAACCATCGATCATATAAATATTTCTGAGTTTTGTGCGCAGAGTGAAGAATGTCATTCGCGGTTTGAAATGCTTTTGATAAGACGTTCTTTAGCTGCTGAGCATACTCTTTTTTGTAATTCGACACGTTTCTCATTTTCACCTGGCTCCGCAACGTCGTTCGGCAACCGAAACTCCCTCCCAAACTCTAAATAACTTGGCGTCAATCCGGTGCTGCTATGTACGGCAGTGTTGTACGGAAAACATGACGAAGATACGTATATAAGTCCCAGTTTCTTTGGTCATCTGCAATTACTTTTTTTTTTTGACTTTTGACTTTTTTTTTGACTTATTAAAAACGGTACTATTTCAGCAAGATATTTACAAAAATTAAGACGGGTGATCTTCCAATAGGCCGTATATAGCTATACTAATTACACATATACTACAGTATCTAATAATAATAACTAAATTACACACAAATTACACACTTACAGTTAGACTATTTTTAAATGTAGAGATACTTGTTTTAGCTTTTATGTCAGCAGACAGATTATTCCAAGTCTCAGCTCCTCGATAGGCGAAAGACTTTTTCATAAAATTAGGTTTAGGTAATGCAAAATTGAATTCGCTCTGTCTTGTATTGTAATTATGTATTTCATTTGAGGTGATGAAAAGTTCCGTTAAGCAATTTGGTAACATGTTATGTTTGGCTTTGAACATTAGGACGGCTAAATGATGTTTTCTTCTAGTCACGAGATTTGGAAAACCGACCTTGTTCAAAACATCGATTGTACGTGCATCATAGTTTTCACGAGTTATTATTCGAAATGCTCTATTTTGAAGCTTCTGGAGTTTATCAGATAGTACTTTACCCAGACAACCCCAAATCTGTGAGCAATAGTCGAAATGTGGTTGAATTATTGATAAATAAATTTTGATCAGTGTTTGGTAATCTAGAATGTCTCTCAATCTTTTAAGGATACTGAGACCTGAATTAACCTTTTTTGTAATTTGATCATTTCTATTTCTACTAATGTGATTAAAGCGTCGGCGACTGTGTTTCTAGTTCCTGCAATGCGCTTTAACGTGTATACTGGAACTCTTGTTTTTTACGGACCCAACGCCACAGCCGACCACTGTGTTCTTTGGTCCGCGTCAAAACCCATGCTGTTCACCGTGCGGATACTTCCCTCCGAAGCGCCATCTGATTGGGGATGGAATGGTGTAGTGCGCTTATTCCAAACTTCCAGGAAGTTACAGACTACTTCAATCATTTTTGCTGATAGGTTCTTTCATTGATCATGGTGAAGTTGCTCAGGAGCGCCATGGCCACCCATCAAACACCTTCTTTGCCACAGTTTCAGATTCCTTAGGGGGAACGCGTACTCCAACCATTTCGTAAAATTAATGGTCAACCATTACAAGACAGTAGCGATATCCCCGAGGAAATAATTGATATTCTACGAAATCCACAGTTTCACAAGTTCTCCTAGTAGCCGTGTTGTAATTGGTTGTAGTGGTGCTCTGTTTGCTGGGACTGGATTTCGTCTTTGTTGGCAGACTGCACTTCTTGCACCACTCGTCAATTTGAGAACATATTTTTGGCCAAAGATACCTTTCCTGTGACCGCTTTAATGTTTTTGAATAACCAAAATGGCTTTGGCCATCATGCAACATCTTCAAAACTCTGGAGGTCAATTTTTGGGGAACTATGATATACACTTTGCCGTCTTTGCTTTTACGGCGAAGCATTCCATCATTCCAATGAGACAGAATGGTAGTTCCTTTGCAAGAGCTGCGTGTTCCTTGTCCGACGTTTTCAATGTCGTTTATGATTCTAAACAAGACTTGATCTTACTAAGTGCTGGACACTCCTCTTGTTGGTGACGTGCATATTCGAGAGACCAGTCGTCTTCGCTTTCTATTTCTACTAATGTGATTAAAGCGTCGGCGACTGTGTTTCTAGTTCCTGCAATGCGCTTTAACGTGTATACTGGAACTCTTGTTTTTTACGGACCCAACGCCACAGCCGACCACTGTGTTCTTTGGTCCGCGTCAAAACCCATTTCAGTGATTGATGATCGGTATACAAATCAAACTCTCTGGCTAAAAAATATGGGCGACACGCTTTGAGAGCTTAGATGACTGCCAAACATTCCTTTTCTGTGACGGAATAGTTTGTTTCAGTTTTCGTTAGTTTTCTGCCCCCGAAAGCTACTGGTCTTCGTTGTCCTAAATTATCGTATTGTTTTAAGTAGTACCCTACTGCATAGTCAGGTGCGTCCCGGGTCACTGAAAACCGGACGAATCGATCAGGCAACTTTAACGCTACGGACGAGCATAGACTTTCTTTCAATTCTTCGAATGCACATTGGCACTCGCGTGTCACAACATAAATTCTGGCTGTTTTAACAAGTTGTGCAGGGGTACCGACACTTTTGCAAAATCCTTTACAAATCGTCTCCAGAATGTGCAAACTCCTGAGAACCGGCGAAGTTCTGTTTCATTCTCCGGAGCCTTCCAATTGCAAATAATTTCCATTTTCTCAGGAAGTGGTCGCGCTCCTGACTTGTCAATAACGTGTCCTGGAAACTTTACAAAACTGGAAGCAAACTGACACTTTTTACCTGACAGTTTAAATCCTGAATCCCTGATCATCTGAAACAATCAGGAAATCCCTTCTAAATGTTCTTCAAAGGTAGGATGAAAACAAATCACATCGTCAAAATATGCCATATGTCCTCCGTGTCTAATACGTGTACCATATCTTCTATCACTGATTGAAAGGTCCCTGGTACACCTGCAAGTCCAAACGTCTTGTATTTGTCCGCATCTGCAATCTCCAATTGACAGTATCCTGAGGTTATATCTTTTGAAGTGAAAAATGAAGCCCATGCTAAACGGTCCAGTGTCTCAGTAATGTTAGACAAGGGGTAACTGGTTACAGCTGTGACTTCATTAAGTTTTCTATAATCCACACAATATTCTTAGGTCTTCTGAACGTTTTCGCACAAGGACTAACTGACTTTCCCATTCTGATGACGATTTCTCAATGATGCCATCATATTAAGCATTGTTTTCAGATCATTTCTTTCTCGATATCCAAATGGGATTCGTCTTAAAGGCTGTTTGACCGGGAAAGCCTTTTGCTTTAGATGGATCTGATGTTTCACTCCTGGCTTGCACTTTCCTAAATCTCTCTTGTTCTTGGAGAAGATGTCAGAGTATGACAGTATCAGTTTCTCTAATTGCTTTGACTGGAATGAATTCAACTCATTCTTGCTCAAGTCCACACCAATTTCACTTAACATACTTTTTGCACAACCATGATCTGTTCTGACATTGGAAACTGTAGACGTTTCTTCCCTTGGATTAAAATGAAGTGGCTCTGACATGTCCTCGTTCTCTGAAATGATCCCGGTTCTTTGATTTTTGTATAGTGTGACAGGATTAGAAGTCAAATTTACAGCTCGAACCCAAACATTTCCATCTTTTCATCCTTCTTCCACTGTTTTGCTCAATAATACTCCATCTGGTGTTTTAGTTGGTTCAATAAACCACTTTTACAACGTTTTTAATACCCATTAGTGGTATCCATACGTTATCAAGCCACAATTTGTTATCTACAATACCCCACATGCATGAAGTAATATAACGACTTTCTATAAAGTCTGCTCCCAAAAGCGACTCTTTAAGGTTGTCCACAACCTAAAATTTCCAACTGGGTTTTAAAGACCGTAAACTAAGATTCACGTCCAGCCCCTCCTTTGTTTAAAGAAGGACACTTGCGTTTCCAATGTCCATGACTGTTTCATACCTGCAGATATCGGAGGGTTTGGGACCAGGCCTCTGTTTCCCTGGAAATATCTTAATTACTGTCCCTATCTTTTTAACTGCTGCAGCTTGGAATGTACGCTGATTCTTGAGGATTTTATCTCATTTGTTTTCCGGACTGGGTTGTTGGTGTGCCACTTTTTCTACATCTTGTGCACCGTCCACATGACTCTCCAGTTTTTCTGCTCTCTGTACAGCAGAAACCTTTCTGATAACACCTTGTTCGTCCTCCAAGGCGGATATTTGCTTAAGGACGCTTTGAACAGATTTCTTGAGTAAATCATCTTGACGTATCAAAATTTATCTCAGCTCTTTCCCAATCCATTTACAAATTGGCATAACATATCCTCATCTTTTTTTCTGTTGTAAAAAACTAAAGCTCCTCTCTGCTGGGCTTGCATGCTCTATTTTCTGACCTGCATTTACATCTGCAGGCAATGGATCTACTATAAGTGGACTGCATGTTCTTTCGTACGACAATCTCAAATCCGGCAAATGAGAATGTAATGTCTCACCGTCCTTTCTATTTCTGGCATTAAACTCTTTCTTATACTTTAGCAGCGCTAAGCCCCCTACTATCTCTCTTTCAAAGCCTGTGAAAGCTCTTTGTAACTCTTCCTTACCGTGTCCGATTGTGGATGATAAAATGCCTTCGCAATTCCCATTATCTTTCAAAAACACTGCCCAATATTCCCCAGCTTTCGCATCCGATCATTCGTTCACGCAACAAAAATTTCAAAAATGCGTTAAATTCTCGAATTAATATCCTCCTCTCCTGAGAACTTGTTTTCCCGAAGAACCGTCTTAATTGTTCGATTCCATAACTGCCACAGGTGTAATAACAATGCGACGAATTGTATTATAACAATTTAATAAAAGTTATTACATGTAAAATCAGTCGAAAAACTAGAGTCTCAACATGCTGTTTCAATCTCACTGTAACTGCGCATGTTCGCTACAGTAGCCCATACCTTACATAAGGCTAGCGTTCCGAGTTGAAATTATAAAATAATGGGTTGGTATTGCAGGAAACGTTCAGGCAAAAGAAGGGGGCAAATCAAAGCTTGCTATAATGGGGGTAAAATTTAAATTATAATTTAAATTATAATTATAATTTATATATACCAGGATGTAAAACAAACGGAAAATTAATTTTTTCACCTTTTGGTTGAATAATTCCAATCCTAGCTTTATTAACAGTCCTGACTGTTGTATATTTATATATGTGGCATTTATATGTGCTATACATTTATATGTTTCCGTTTTATATCGTGGAAAATGTTAAAATTTGGACGTACCGAAGTCACGAAGAAAAGACCGCCATTCAACATTGCCAAAAAAAGCACTTTAATTAAAAATTTCTATACTGTTCCAAAACTTATTTTGCATTAAAGTCCAGGCATTTGTTGATTTTGAGCTTTTATTCAATTGTTGATTTTGAGCTTTTAATCCAAAAAAATGACATTTTCAAAATTGTATTATTTTAGCCAATCAAAGAGCGTTATTTGCCCCCATTATGAAGCCTCGATTTGTCTCTCGTTTTTCCCGAAATGCCTACTCTAGTCTTTTATAATCTATCTCTATGGTCGCGTAGATCGCTGGGTGGCATTTTGTGCCCAAGCGCAAAATAGTGATTTTTTCTTTTGTGCCCGCGTAATGACAAAATCTGTTGGCTGACATTGGCATTTTGTGAATCAATTTGATCGCGATCAATTCGGCTGTTGGAATTCTGCATATAAAAATTAATTTACGGTAACCATATGCTAGTTAATTTAATATCGTGGCATCGGACGATTTTTGTGTTACCCGGCCGGAACATGAAATAAAATCCAGGGAACCGTTTACCTAATTTTCACTGCAGTTAAACCTTCTTTTAAGATTGCATGTTCGGGGTAGACCAATTCTATATCTGTTTATATTGTGATTTTTTCGCTTTTAATGGCCGAATATATGTATAAGCGTTTAAGAGGAGATTTTTTTGTATGTTACGTAACACGCGCTCAAAACTATTGAGTATAATATATCACTTGCTGTTTTGACCATACATCCAAAATTATTATTTTTCGATACGTGCCGCAATCGGCAAACAAACTTAAAAAGTATGCATGGTGCTTTATCTGTAGAATAATGCCAAAATAAAGAGATTTTAGATGGTACGCCAAAGAGAAAATGATGTCTGAAGTTCAGCAAGTTTGGCTTACGTTGTTGTAATATGGCGTCATTTTTAAAGCGTCATTACTAATTGTATTTTAATTAACAATTTTTTGCTATTTATATTTTATGTTTCTCAACTGGCAAATGCTTTGTATAACCTAGACTGTATAAACTAGAGAATAAAGCTACAACAAAGCAATTTTGACAGGTACGCCAAAAAGATTTTCGATTTTGAACACTTTTCATCGCATTACGCTACGTCACGTAGAAATAAATTGCCTCTTAAAACAAAAAGATAGCTTTATATAAGTTTTATACATGTCAAAATACTGTGTCAAATTACTTCTTGACTTTCAATGCAATTTTCAACCCTGGTGTACATCGTGCTTAGTATGAAGTCTTTAGGGCTTAATTGAGGTAATTCATTTTCGTATTCTCACTATAGTTAGGCTAAGTTTTCCAAACATTTTGCGCAGATTTTTCAGTTTAAAAATTGTTTCTCTCCTATATAGGTTTTGGCGCGAAAACCAGAGTGGGCAGTTGCATTTCACAGCGGGCCGAATGCAAAAAGCCGGATTGCTTCATTTTACCAATAAAAATAACTATATTCATCAACTTCGCCGGCATAAAATTACAAATAACAATTTAAAATTACAACAAAAAAATAGTGTGGCTGGGTCACCGCAACATGCAGATTATTTCCAATTATTGACTGCGAGCCCACGTACAATATCAGTAGTTAGTATTTACTCCTAAGTGTTTTTTTACCAACATTGAAGTTGACTAAATTGTAAACGTCGAAATTCAGGAGAAAATAGTTTATTTTCAATCTATTTTTATTGTAGTAATCGATTAATACATTCAAATCTGTAGGGATAATACCATATATATATATATATATATATATATATATATATATATATATATATATATATATATATATATATATATATATATATATATATATATATATATACCAGCGGGCAAAATGACGTTTATCCAACGTTGAATCAACGTTGGAAATGACCTTCCAGACGTTGGATAGACGTTGAAAAAGGGTTGACTATGCAAATTGGATCGACGTTACTGTTTCGACGTTGAAACAACGTTGAAATTAGGTTGCCAATCTCGTCAACCATAATTCAACGTTGAATCCACGTTAAAACAATGTTGAGATTGGTTCACAAATCGACGTCGTACATTTAACCATGAATGAACGTTGATTCAACGTCTGTTGGCTGCTGTTGAACCAATGTTTGTAAAACAACGTCAGAGCAACGTAGATATTAGGTTGTCGACGTCGCAACCTTTTTTCTACCAAATTTCAACGTTGAAACAACGTCGTGTGCCCGGTGGGATATATATATATATATATATATATATATATATATATATATATATATATATATATATATATATATATATATATATAGCTTAAGATTTTGGTTTACGAAACACAAACGGTGCTCAATACCATATAGATAGAGCGTAATATAGTTTTTCGTTTTACCTCAAAAAACCACAACAGTCTGTTTCATCCGTATAGGAATCATCAGGTGGTGAATAATTTCGAAATTGTAGGTTGCTTTTATGCTATCGAAAGAATGTGCGGAATGCGTGTAGGCGAAACAATGCTTCGGTGAAACAAAGCATGCTTGGGTCATTAGGTTTTGTTAACGACCTTGTTTACTCGAAACCGGTTTTTGTGACAACATTTGCCGAAAATTTCGCTTCTTTTATTGAGTAAATTGTCTTTGTTCATGTCTTTCAATGTTTGGAAGAAAAATTTTGCATTTTGAAAGACATAAACAAAGACAATTTACTCAATAAAAGAAGCGAAATTTTCGGCAAATGTCGTTACAAAAACCGGTTTC